GCTTCAGGAAGAGGCAGGATGAGACTGAAGGAGAGCTGCCCTCACCAAAGCCCATTTGACCAGTGGGATGCTGGAAGCCACTGGCACAAAGTGAGGAGTGGAGGCTGCACTTCCACTTGTGCACCACCAGCAGCTGAGGTCATGGAAGAATCGTCCATCAGGTGGACTCGGGTCTCATTCACAGGTGCAGCCCTCATCACGTGTGGATTCCCTGCACAGATGGCAGGAAGCACCAAGGCTTCCAAACACCAACAGCTCAGCTGTGGATGGAGAATGGCAACTTCTAAATTCCGTCTGCTCCTTTTTTGTCACTTTCTGTACTCAGAAACACATTCATCAGAAGCACAAGCACACTGGGACAGTGACAAATTTTACCATCTCTGGCTTGTCACTTCAACAAGATTAGATTATTTTAATATTAATTCATTACCCAATTTAAATCCAATTAAATACATTTTACAAGGCCCTGGCATGGCTGTGATGCTCGGGACAGCCCCTGATGAATGCCAGGTGTAGCATCTGTGTTATGGCCAAACACCTGTCTCAGAGTGAGATTCTCCAGTCCTTCACCAAGGAGCCCCTTTTCCCCTAACAAGGGGAAAAGGACACTGAAACCCTTGAGATGGATGAACAGCTTTTCTTTTTGGTGGGCTTATACTCAGGAAAATAGTTCCAAAGTTCCCCACAGATGGTTGAAATCAGAGTTGATTTCCCCATCTTCCTTCTTGGTAGGGGTGCCAGCCTCTCTCTCATCAGAAAGAATATTAAAAGCACTTTTCCTCTTTCTCACAGGGAGAAGCTGCATGAAGAAGGGAACACTCCAGTGTAGCTACGGGACAGCAATAAATCATGAGAGCTCATGGAAAATTTGCAGAACTGCATTCTTTTAGTCAGGAACCAGCTTCCATGGATCATCCATTCCTACCTTCAGATACATTACCTTGAAGGTAGAAACACAAATGGAGATAAGCAGCACCTGAACCATTCTCTCTAATTTCTATCTGTGCTTTGTTACAAGTCATTACTTCTCTCAGCTCTTCATGAGCTGCCACCTACATATTTGCTTGCAACTAAGGCCCAAACCCATCTCTTGCAGTGCCAGAAATCAAGAGGTCTACCAGGACCCCACAGGGCAAAAAAGAGAAAGATCTAAACAGAAATGGCCTGGAGAGAAATGGGGAAAAAATAGGAAAAGCTATGGAGATGGAAGAAAAAAAAGTGGAAGATGCAGACTGAAACACAGAAGGGGCAATGGAGGGAAGGTGTGAAGAGCATGGGAAAGGGAAATGCAGAACTGGAACAGATTTCAGATCTGTGCAGCAATGCCCTGTGCCACCTTTGCAAAGCTGTCACAATCTGCATCCCTGTTTCTGAGGCAGGAGGACTCGGAGCCTCTCCCCAGATGGCTGTGTGACCTTGGTGCTCCCTGCTCTTCCCCAGCAGAGGAACACAGCACTCACAGAGCTCCAGCCCACAGCCCTGCCACCTTAACGCCCCACCAGCCTGCACTGCCAGTCTGGATTTTGGGAAAGGACAGGATGTTGTTATAGCTCTCCATAGGTCCCCATCTGAACAGAGACTATTATGGTATAAATGAGAGGAAAGGGCCACTGAACCACGTGGAAAGTTGCCAGGCTGTGCTGCAGCCTCCAGCGGTTATGCTCAAAGAGATTTAAAGTCCAGCATAACCTTGATTTTTAATAGAGTCACATTTAATGAGCTTTAACGTCCACAGTAATAATTTTCTTATTACCTACGCAGGAGCCGGAAATACGATCAGAAGAAATGTGCTGCACTCCAGTCCAATGAAGGGATTTAACAATACATTATTATCAAAACCATCAACATCATTGTCCTTAATGTCTTTTTTTGGTTGGTATAATTATAATTCTGTGAACCATAAGCATAGCTGTTGCATACCACATAAGCTTGCTGAACACATCCAGCCTGGCTGGCTGGAGGCCACCCAAACCCCTCACCTCGCCAAGCAGCCAGTCAGGTTATATGGCAGAACAGGATAATAAAATCTTACATTTACCTTTATCTGTCTAAAGGCAAAATGCAAACTTACATATGACCTTTGTTGTCCTCCCAGCTTTTATCCACACTCTTCCTACTCTGTCCTTGCTCTCTCTTCATCTCATTCTACTCTGACATCAGGGACCTCCCACCTCAAAAGCTCAGAGAACTGAATTTGCCTCTTGCGTGTGTCACACGAACAAGCTGGATAAACAGACAGATGGGGACTGCAGCTGACAGAAAGGGGTGCAAGAAAAACTCCAATTCTTGTTATTTTTGTACAAGAACAGCTTCACAAAACTCACAGAAATCCGCTCCCTTATCATGCACAACAAACCTCCCTCCCCGGGGTAGCCAATTGGACAGTGACAAACAAAGCAGAGGGAGTTTCTGCCACACACTCCCCACTTCACACCTTGAAAATACACTGAAGCAGAAGGCATGTGGCAGCTGTTCCTGTGGGCAGAGCTAAGAAAACAGCAAAAGCTGGATCTTCCATGTCTTATCCAGAGGGAGACAGTGTGAGTTTTCTGGCCACATGAATCCATGCTGTTGAGCCACTGCTGAACAGCTGCTGCATCCACACTGCAGATGCAGGATGGAGTCAATGCAGAAATGGATGCAGCTTGCACAGCACACTTGATCAGCTGTCCCCAAACCCACCAGGAGCTCTCCCTGCTCCAGCAAGGAGGCCAAATCTGGCATTCACCTGGCTAATTTAAAGCCAGCTCAGAGTAACCCAGTAACCTGTGGTCAGCACTATAGCACCCTCAGCATCTCTTCACATCCCAACATTGGCAATCCTCATGCTCTGACCATGCTGCTGAATGCTCCCACAGCAGAAATGAGAGTTTAGGTGTATTTATGGCAATGTGCCCTGTGCATGACAGTGACGCACACAAGCACATGAAATACAAGAAAAAAATGCCCAAGATCTTTCCACATAACCTGGCTTCCTATACCCTTCACCCTGTCCTCAAAAAGAGTCACCCAAAGGGCTGCTCCACCCTTCAACAGCTTTTTCCTGTCTTGTTTATAAGAACCACTTCTGAGAATCCAAAGGGCCCTTTGGTGACTTTGGTAAATGACACTGAAGTACTTCCCACCCTTCTGAGCTCTGAACCTGATGCTCTCTTCCATCTGAGCTTGTCACCAGAAGTCAGAATGACGTAGCTTGGGACTGGGGTAAAAGGCAAAAAAATAAAAAAAATCACATACATGAGGCTGGAAATACCCTGAAACCCAGCAAGCTGTTTGTTTTCCTGTTGGAATCAAAGGCAGAAGAGAAAACAGCTTTAAAAATGCATCCCTTCTGAGCTAACAACAAACCTGGTAACATCCCAGCACAGAGGCACCTCACAAACAGCTAAAAACAACTGCATGGCAAGGCAGCAGAATAATAATTCTAACACATCACAGGAGGCACACGTGGGGAACACATTCCCCCAGAAGAGATGTCTAATTACTGCAGATGACACCCCAGAGGCTCATTCATCAGAGACACGGGGCTGACCCCACCTCTGCAGCCTCCCTGGGACCTGCAGCATCAGATGTGCCTGGTACCCAGGGCATAAGGCCACACAAGGGCACTGGGCAGCATCATCTACTCAATTTAAACCCCTACAACCCAGTGCATTTCAAACTCAAATTGCAATGCAAGAGCTGCCCCCAAGAACTGCCCACTGGGGGTCTGAGACTGGAAGCTCCCACAGACAATAGTTTTTTAAAATGTTTGCCAAGAGTTTCATGCTTATGCATCTGTTAGAGCATTCACTAACAGGAGTGACAGAACTGTCACTTACTTGTAACATGCAGTGAGCTCTTCACTTTATAAACCACCCCTTCTGCACTTCTCACCATCATATTTTTAAGGCTATATAGTACCATAATCCACTATGAGATGCTGGAACAACCACATTCTCAGCAGTAATAAAGTGCCATTGTTTGAGCGATGGGAAAACAGACAACCTACTTTCTGAGAATTTCCGTTTCATAACAGAGAAAGATGTTTCCTCCTGTGCGTTTTCTTTAAACCAGGGCTCTGTCCTTTTGTGGGTCTTTTGTGAAGTTTCCAGCACTTGTGACCTTTGGGAAAAGCTCTGCTCTCTCAGTCTCATCTGAGGGAGGATCCTGACCTCCAGACATTGACTATGGACATGCAGCTGGGAAATACCAGGTTTGCTCCACACAGACCTTCAGCTCTCTGTCATTCTTCTCTTCTCTAACAAATTGTTTTGAGGCCATGGGAGAGTTACTGCTGTAACTTCTCCTGGGCTCTTCAGCATAACGTGATTCTGCCTGGTCCCTCACAGTATTATAGGTGATGGGTTAGGTTTTACTGATATCCTTACCCTGATTTTCAGAGTCTGAGAGCATGTCTGGAGGTGTTGATTTTTGGGGTGACTGTACTAAAAAGTCTCACTCAGGTATGTGAAAGAAAGACAGACTGTGCTGGAGTGCCACAGATTCTGTGAAACGTATTTAGCTCAGTGAAAGATGTACTCTGCCTTCATGGAGTATTGAATGTAGCTGTGATTAATGAGGCACATATACACTGATAAACAATATTAATTTGTTTTAAGCCAGGTCTGAAAAGATTTCAACCACTTGCTTCCCTGCAGCTATGAAAGTTATTTCCTGCTGTCTGTACTACCTCAAGGGCTAAACCAGCCCTGAAAGGAAGGAAATATTTCCTTTCATTCTGTCGGCAGCACCAGCCTATGAAGGCTGTTGTATTGGTATTTCATTTATCATGAGCAAATGATATGAATTATTATTATTTAGCCTTACCACCCACCCTCTACCACACTGCCACAGGATTGCCACCACGCATTCACTCTCTCCTGCATCAACCCAGCTTTTTCCATTTTCCACATAACCACTCCATCAAGCGTGCTGTCTGCAATGCCTCCATCTGCTTCTGCACTCAGCTCCTCTGGCAACACGGATGAATAAAGGCATCCCCAGGACCAGCAGCCTACCTGCAACTTCTTGTGGGGACTGAAAACCCCCAACTCCTTCCAGACTGCCCGAGACGGAGCCGCCTCCTTTGAGCACCCTGACGAGCTCCCGCAGCCTCTCGCACTCCTCCTGCAGCTGCTGCTGCTCCTCCTTGCGCTGCTGCTTGGCCAAACTCATCGGGTTCAGGCTGAAATGGACAACCTTGGTCCTGCTGGGGTCGTAGTCACCCTGGGTGGCAGAAAAAAAACCAACAAAAGCACGTTGAGTAACCGATCCAACGTCCGGGTTCACCCTGCCTGTGTCACTCGGTGAAATAAAAAAATGTTACAGCGGAAAATAAGGTGACATTCATGCAGTGACAAGGTTTTATTTCAACAGCCAAACTCAGTGCTCTTTCTCCTTCTCTTGCTACTCCATCTTTAAAAAAACAACTCCTGAAACAAGGCAAAGAAACAACAAACAAACAAAAAATAACCAAACCAGAAAAAACCCAGAGAAACACCCCACTTAACAGAACTTGTTCCCTGGCTGATACTTCCACAGTCAAATTTAACTCCAGGAATGAAGTTTTATAGCTGTATTTAAAATCTCATGATAGCAGGAGATTATAATGAACACCCAAACATAACCTTAAACTACAGCAAGATATCCAGTGCCAGCCTGATTTATTGCTCATATGAGCCAGCAACATCCATGGCATCCAAAGGTGGAGTCATTAGCAAGTTGTATCAGCTCATCCCAAGCAGGGGAACAGATATCCCACTCCTTTTTTTCAAAAGAGAGTTGTATTTACAGCAGTTTAAATAGTCAGTCAAGCCCTAAGACGGCAAATTAATATTCTTTCAAAGCAAGAGGAAAACACTGATGTTTCATTTGTGATTTCAGAGAGACAATTTTCATATAAACACCAGAAAGCCTCACAACCATAAATGTGGTAAAACATGTGCTAACGCTGGCTGCCACGGCACTCTGCCCAGCTGAAACCCTATAGCAGTGCCTGCATAAAAAGCTATTTTATATGCTAATATTTTTCCTTCAATTAAATCTCGGGACCTAAAGTGATTTTGTAAACATTAATTAACCCTCGAGAGCAGCATGAGGTAGGTATTATCCCAATTTTATCATTTCATTTCCATTAAAGACGTGATAGAACTTTATGTGGTGTTTTTTTCCATGCAAACCAGAGCAGAGAACTGAGCAACTTCATCCTGCATTGCTGTCCATTGCTGGTAAGAGACCCTAGAAGATTCCACTCCCAAACATCTTTTATTGAAAATACTTTCTATTCACATACTGTGAAAGCTCCTCATTTCATGCTGAAACTCACTGCCCCAGAGCCAGGCAACAGACACAAAATGGCATTAAAAATGGGTTTGACAAATTCAGGGAAAAAATCCATAACTGGGCTATGCCAGGACAGGACATGTGAGAATCTTCCAGCATCTCTGGTTGCTGGGAGAGTGCTGGAGAGAGTGGAAAAATCTGTAGGCTTTCACAGCTTCTATCAAAGATGCTCTTCTGGGATTTTCTTCCCAGAGGGGGAAAAAAAGAGGGGTGTGGTGGTTCCTCATAACTACTCTGAGAAACCAGTTTGACCACAGGTGTGCATCTGGGTAGGAGAGAGTCACTGTTCCACAGGGTAAGTGAAGTTACAGAGAAAGGAGATCACATGAACATGTCCCAGGCCAAGGAGGAACTCCCAGAGGTCTGCCCTGGTCCAAGAGCTCACTCCAGGGAGCTGGGAAGGCTCAGGCATGGAAACCTCATGGAAACCCTTCCCAGCTGTTTGCACTCCCCACAGTCAGGAGCAGGTGGTCTCCCAGCCCTTGGCACTGAGCAGGGGATGCACGTTCTCCTACTGCCAAGCCTCACTTCAGTGAGCTCAGGAACACCTGGGAGGGCAGAACTGCCCTGCAGCCCCACAGCAACAGGGCTTTGGGACCCCATTTCCATAGCCACAAACCTCCCCTAACTGCCAATCAGGCAACTCAGGCCAAAAGAAGAAATAATCCCACCATCAGCCTTGATGAAGAGAAATTCAGGTGAGACCTGAAGGACACAAGCAGCATCTTGGAGATGTCAAACAGAGGGAGAACGAAGGCAGCTGCAACACCAGGTCATTAGGTGTATTTTCCCCAGCACACACTGGCATTTACAAACCTGCTTTTGCACTTAGCTCGTTACCTTCTCATGCTATTTGCACTTCAGGACTCCTCCAGACAGGTCAGGGCACTCCCCACTCTCGTGTTTGTCTTTCAAGGGAAGAGATTCAACTCCAAAGTCTGCAACAGGGCTTAGTGTGGCTGGCAGGAGGATGCTCCAGTGTCAGCTGTGGATCCCAGCTCTCTTTGGGCATCTGCTGGTGCTTCTGACCAGCCCTGTCCCCCTTGCCAAGGTGAGGCAGAGCTCACAGCTCCTCATCCTGGCTGCCAGCACCATTCCAGTGCAGGCATCACCACTGCTGCAGACACAGCAGCAGCATCCCTGTGTGAGGAAAGCCTTGCACACCTGGAGACTGCTGCTCCCTCCCTGCCAGGGCTGCTGTAACCCACACTGCACCAAGCTGTTCATCCTGCAGGTTATTTACTCTTTGCCATCACCTATGAAGCCCTGCCATGAAGCTGCAGTGCTTTGGCTCTCACAGGTCTTTCACACCATTCATCCTCTCCTTTCATAACATGCCCCCCTCGAAAAATCTTGCTTAAAAACTCATCACCAGGATTCAGCCTTATTTTCAGGGTTCACCAGCTCTCCTCAGCACATGAGTCTGAAGCTTCACTGAGACAAGAGAATCTCTTAAAAGCCCACAGTGTGACGAAGGCAGTGGCAGAATCCATCTCATTTAACATTTCTGGGAGATCACGAACATATTTGCTATGCTACTCGCATTTCTGGGCTAGGGGCAGTAGCTTTCTGTTTCTTCTACACAGCACACATCAAAACAGTACATTTCTCCCTACAGCTAAAATATTAGTGCAGCTGGTTTATATTATAGCAATGCCTAAAAGAAACCAAGTGAGACAGAGATCCCAGCATGCCAGGTCCTGTAAAAACCCCACAGGAAACTACCACCTAAAGCCCAAAAAGCACACAACAAAGATGCAGTATGTGAGGGGAGTGCAGGTATGGAAAGATGCAGTTTCTAGTTCCAGGTTCCTCAGCAGCATGGCAGAAAAGAAACCACATCTTCAGAGCTGCTCCTCCTCACCACCAGACCATGCTGCCACCTCACAGTTGTACCCAGCAGAGCATTACTTGAGTCTCCAGGAAATTTCCTGGCACTCTCTGGAGTTTCAAATAGATGCAGGAAACTTTCCATGGAAACGCTGCAGACCAGAGGCAGTGTCTGATGAAAGGGATGGGTCTCATGTGTAGGTAATACAGAAAGTCAAAACAGGATCACACCTTGGGACATCTGGAGTGTTTTCTTCCGAATTTCTGAAGGTTGGGGGTGATTCTGTGTTGTAAAAATGAGTGGTTTAGGGTCGGCTCTATGAAGACCCATGGATGGAAACTGCTAAATTTAAGAGATATCAAAGCAGCATTAAAATCTCACTCGCATTTGAGAGACATGAAACCCTAATGCTGGTAAGAAACCAGGGACTGAAAAAAGCAAACAACATCCTCCTGAAATCCCTTTCGTTCTGGAAAATGTAAATTGCTGTTTTTCTCTGTCAACTGCACTTCCACCTACAATAAATTAGTCTTACTGATCATAATTTTGTCCTTTCAGTTGTGCAGCAGAAGCCTGGAAAATTGCTTCAGGCACCGGGAGAGAAGACCTAAAACAGATTTGCCCGTTTAGAAAATAATTTCTAATCTTGGGTGACTGAAGAGGAAAACCAAACGGTGGCATTTGAAAGGCAGGCACAGAAGAGACAGCCACGTTCCTTGAACAGGAGCTGGGACTCCCCAAACAGCTGCCCAGGCACAGCTCCAGATGCTGCTTCTGTGCTGAACCAACACATGCAAGGAGCTATTGCTTAGCAGAGTTAAAAAGCATCTTGTAACAAACGGTAATGTATCCCTGGTTTCTCCAAGAAGCGTGAAAATCGTGCTGCAGGTTTGGAAACTTGGCCTGAATGTGAGGTTTGACCAAATCCACTTAAGCTCATGGTGCCTTTATATGGAAATGTGGGACTTTTGGGTGATGCAATCGATGTATGACCTACAGAGCTCTGCTGGAAAGCCATCCCATCCCTGGCTCAGGCAGCAGTGACTTGGTAGCTTGTTTTGCTCAGCAGCACATCATGGCCAGTGTCTCAGAGAGCAAAGATAACACATCACTGCCAGTTTCTCAGCAGCATCCTCTCTTTACCCCTGTTTTCCCCAATACCTTAAAAACCAGAAATTGTAGAGATTCTGAAGAGAAAATTACTTGGACTAGAGAGAACTGCTGGCATTCATTGATTCTTCTTTTCAAGAATAACATTGAACAAGTAATTCAGATTTGTCAGAAAAATGTACACAGCTTCAATTCCGGGGGAAGCAATAAATGCCTTGATTGATGACTACCAAATCTGGCTGACACTTAAAAAAGTGAATTACTCACTCCTGGAAAGCAAGATGTTAACTAGTTGATTTGGTGCTTAAGGCAGCAAAATCTTTTTTTTTTCTTTGGCTCTCAGAAGGGCACCAGACATTTTACAGAGACGATCTGTTGATTCCACATGTTAATACTCTCCACAATTTGTGAAATAATGTTGTTTTGATGCATTATTCTCAGCCTTCCAGACATATGCCCCAGGGTACCCACAAGAGAAACTCTCTCATGAACCACCCCATTGCTGCTGTCCCAACTGTGGAGTCACTATGAGAGACAAACACTGCAGATGCCACACACAGATATTGGCTTAATGCAATATGTTCCAAGCACACTCTGTCAGAACTGTTTAGTCCTGACAGTTTAAGACTCTGGCTATCAATAAACTTTCTGACAAAAGACTATGGAAAAAAGAATTTGCAACAGGGCCAATTTGTCATCTAGAACAGAGGAACAACCTCAAGTCAGATGCTGCTGCCTCCCCTCTCACTTCCATCTTCCAGCTTGAAAAAAAACCACCCCAGGGAGATAATTGTGCTGATGCTATGTGTCATTTTTTAAAACTGTATTATCGTCAAACAGTCAGCATGTTGGTCTACGTGTTGAAATTACAGCTCAAAAACTTCCTAAGTAATCTGCCCATTAGGGAAGAATCAGTCAAGTGCCAAAGCAATGAATGAAGACA